TATTGTTTTCAGATGTTTTACTAGATTATCTAGGGAATAAAATATTTGGGAAAATGTTGGAATAAAATTTCAGCAAAATTGTCTGGTAGAAAAAAACAACCCCAAATGTCAGTATTTTTCAACACAGCGATCGTATGTGATGTGAGAAACCTGTGGGAAAGGCATTTGCTGGGGCTACCACAGCGGCACATCTTGAACTTTGAGGGATTTTTCCAGAAAGCTGGGAGCAGATGAGATCAGATACAGTGAATTCCCATGAATTATGTGATGATTCTTCCCCAAGAAGGTGGGCAGTACCTAGGGAAGACCAATAGGAAACCCTGGCTGAGTGCCACCCACACCACCTAACTTGGAGATGCTCTTCCTGGCAGCTACTGGAGCGTATACAGAACCAGCCCTACCTGATCAGATCGGTTTGTCCGAAGACAGAGGCGCCACAGACCTGAGAGCCTAAGGCTCCACACGTTTGCCATGTCGAGCGTGGGATATGCTCCAAGCGTCCAACCACTTCCTTGAATGTGTGGCAGTTTCTCCCACATCAGGGCTTTGATGCTCAAAAGACAGAACTAACTCATAAGGAAAAGGTCACTTGTTTGGCAACATCAAGCCAGAAACAACAACCACCTTAGCAATTCAAAATATCATCTTTGCATACATTTTCAACACAGTTAAATGGGAAGCTAACATCACTGATACGTAGCAAATGAATTAAATGTCACCCAAGTAGGAAGTCCAGAAGAAATGAGCAGTGGGTGCCCACCCACCGTACCCAGAAGGAGCAGTATGTGAAAAGAAACTTTACATCACAGGTAATTACAATATTTAAATGTAAACACTGAGGGTTATGTCAGCTTCTCATCTGGCCGAGGCTTTGATAGCACAGAGGAACACAGAGGAGGCAGGGGGATGAGACTTAGGACAGTTTATCTGGAGAGTAGTTGGACAAATATTCCAGAAGTCTTTAACACGTCCTTCCTCCAACGCAGCAATTCCACTCCAGGAAATTTAACCGTAAGCACATAAGCATGGGTTTAGAGAAAGGAATGTTCGCTACACTGTAGTGTGGTTTGCACAGTGAAAAACTGGAAACCGCGGACATTCCTGACAAGAAGCGTTTCTTTAAAAGGTTACAGAGCTCCCAAAGAAATACCAGGGCCTGTGCAAGCACAGCAGAGGAGTGCTGATGTTCAGAGGACTCCATGCTGAGTTTCAACTCTGTCTTCCAACACTTGCATCCATCCATGTGTATGTCTGCAGACAGGAAGGGCAAGCACTTTCTCCTTTGATGGTGTATTTTTTATTATTTATTTATTTAGGTTTTTTCCCCCCTCATTTTCTCCCAAAAAAGTTTGACCACTCTCAGCAACATTTGGGAAAGCTGGGTCCTGGGGAAGGAAGGCAGCTGTTTCCTTGTGGTCTGTCATGTGGCCACTTGTCAAATGCCTTCATCCCAGGGAGTGTCAGCGAGACTGTGCGAACTGACTGATTTGTTTGGTTTGGATTCCACTCACCGTGTCAGGAGGACTGCTGTGTTTGAGCGGCCCTTCAGGCTCCTGAAAGCTAAGTATATTAGTCAGCAGTCTTTAAAGGTTTAAAACTTGACGGAATGAATGTATATACAAAAAGGAGGTTCTTCAGACTGACTTACAAGATGGGGTCTGTGTGGTCCAATGACAGTTGTCTTAGGCAGAAAGGATGAGAATCCTGTACTTGCTCATTCTGTGAGGCTGCGGTCTCAGCAGTCCCAATCTGGTGCTAGAGGTCTGGAAGATTCCTTGAGAGCTAATTCTCTTTAGTCTCTGCTGGAATCCTGAATAAGCTGGTTCTAATATCAGCAAAGGAACACTGCAGCATCAGAATAGATGAACTTGCCAGCAAGAGTGAGAGCAAGCAGGCAAAGAGCAGTTTCCTTCTTTCATATCCTGACAATGACACTAGAAGGTGTTCTCTGTATAGAGTGAGTCTTCCTGCTTCAAATGTTCTGATCAAGAAAATCTCTCACAGGAGCCCCCATCAGCTTGGGTTTAGTTGATCCCAGACTCAGTTGGGTTTAGTTGATCCCAGACATGAGCCATCACACCAGGGCAGGAACTAAAGGCAGGAACCTGGAGAAGGAACTGAGGCAGAGGCTGTGGAGGAGTGGCTAGATGGCCATGGCTCATGCACTTTGCTTTTTTATACAACCCAGAATCATCTCCGCATGGGTGGTGCCACCCACAGTGGGCTGGGACTTCCCACATTAATCTGCAGTCAAGAAAATGCCCCCATAGACTTGCCCACAGGCCAATCTGATGGAAGCAATTCCTAAACCGAGGTTCCCTCTTCTCAGGTGGCACTAGCTTGTGTCAGTATGACAGAAACTAATCAATACAAATAGTTATAGATCTGACCAGACAGGAAGAATTCTACAAAAATTCCTTAGGCTTTACAGCACGCAATGCTACCTTGTGGTGTCTGAAATAGAATATGACAGTAAGGAAAATAAAAAGGTAGAATTACTCTTCTTATTCTTCAGATGTAGAAACTGATGCTCCAAGTTTTCAATGGTTTCTTCAAGGTCAGCTAGGACATCTTGGAGCTAGAACCAAGTCTCCTCAGTCCTGGAAGTCCTCTGCTTGTCACTGTGAACCCACACATTGCAGTGGGAAGGAGCTGCCTGGAGGAGCTGGAACATCAGAGGAATGAACTTGGGAGATGTGAACACAGGGCTCAAGCAAGCCCCCGGGCTGGGTGGGGCAATGGGTAGTGCCTCCTGCTGCTCCTGGCTGATGCCTTGTTCTTTCAGCTAGAGTGCATTCTAATCACTTACGTAATGCCCCAAATTGGGTAGGACTTTTCAAAAGTATGAGTATGAGCATGTCTGGATGACAGAAAATTTTTTTTTAAAATTATTCCAAAATATGACCTTCAGTGATGTCAAATGCTAACTCTCCTGTATCATAGTAAACCATTCTTCCTCATCCCGAGGTGTGTTTTCAATGCTACAACCCTTATTGCTGAGTATGAATTGAAAACCACTAGTGACTGAAAGCATTTCTCATGGTTCTTAGCTCTTGTTTCAGAGGGACCATGGCTTCTTGCACTTGGAAATCTAGCCTGTCTTCACAAAGCTGTCTCCTAACTGGTGGTGGTTCTTGAGAGTGTCAGGCATATTCTGTGGAAAATGCTTCTCTGAGTAATTTTTTTTTTTGGAAGAAAAAAAGAATAGAATAACTGAAGTGTGACAACCACTGATAAGAATCTTAGGTCCACAGAAGGGCTTTGCTGCCCACCCACACACCCACCTCACTCCCACCCATGTGTAAAGAGTTCCTTCTGTAGATTTCACTGTGTGTCTTAGTTATTTTTCTATTGCTACAATAAGGCACCATGACCAAGGCAGCTTATAAAAGCAAATGTTTAATTGAGCTTATGGTTTCAGAGGGTGAGTCCTTGATGGTAGAGGAAAGACACAGTGGCAGGAATAGCTGAGAACTCACACCCTGATCTGTAAGCACCAGGCAGAGAGCTAACTTAGAATGGTGTCTTTTGAAACCTCAAAACCCACACCCAGTGACACAGTCTCCAGTGAGGCCACACCTCCTAATCTTTCCCAAAGAGTTTCACCAACTGGAGACCAAGTATTCAAGTGTATGAGGCTATGGGGACCATTCTTACTCAAACCAACACCTTATCCAAAACAGATTTGTAGTATGTCCCCGTGGGTCCTCATAGAGGGCAGGAGCCTTAGTCATTTATTAATGTGAAGAGACACCGTGACCACGGCAACTCTTACAAAGGAAAACATTTAATTGGAGCTGGCTTACAGTTCAGAGGTTAGTCCATTATCATCATGGCAGGAAACATGCCAGCCTGCAGGCAGACATGGTGCTGGAGAAGTTGCTGAGCATTCTTCATCCTGATCTTCAGGTAGCAGGGAGAGACTATGTGACACACTGGGAGTAGCCTGAGCATAGGAGACCTCAAAGCCTGCCCCCACACTATGATCTGAAAGCCATGACGCACTTCCTACAACTAGGCCACACCCACTCCAACAAGTCCATACCCCTAATAGTACCACTTCCTATGTGCCAAGCATTCAAACCCATGAGTCTATTGGGGGTGGGGGGTCATACCTATTCAAACCAACACAGCAGGTAAGTCAGAGGAAAGTGTGCACGCGCCATGCCTTTGGAAGGATCTATATGCAAGAGAGATCAGATGACACATGGCCAAGAATAATTTTGTTAATGCTCTGAAGTGATTCCTTCTATGTATAATGTACTTGAGGGAGTAAAAGTGAGGTTTAAACTCCAGAATAGAAGGAATGGATCAAACAGGTAATTGCCTGCCTGTTGGATATTTAGTTCTTGCTGCAAATAAAAATGAACCCCAAATTTGTGATTTACAACAATAATAAGTATGTATTTCCATACTTTCTGTGAATCACAAATGTGGGAGTTTAGCTGGGTTCTAAGCTTGGGGGTCTTTCAGATTCTAGGCTTACAGAATCTAGGGCTCTTGTCATTTAAAGGTTTTCCTGGGACTGGGTAATCATTTTCTAAGAAAGCTCACTCACATAACTCAAAGAAATTGCAAGAGCTCTCTAGATGGGAAGTTCCAAGGTTCACCACCTGTGGATTTTTCCATGGAGCTTTGACCCAAAAGGACAAAGGTAAACAGAAATGTGCTTCAGTGTCTGATCTCATTACCTTTTGTATGCTTCCCTGGCCACACAAGAGTTTCTCTGACTGTGTATAAGAGGAGATTCTAAACCACATATGTAGTGGGTAGTCATTCCAGCTTGGATCTGGAAGTTCCAACCTTCATTGAGACTCTGGCAACTGTCATGCCTACGAGGTGGGGCCAGGGGAGGCGCCTGGAGACCCGAGATCTGGATGGGCCAGCGCTCTCTCTGTGCCCCGCCTCGTAGGCATGACAGTTGCCAGAGTCTCAATGGGGGTTGGAACTTCCAGATCCAAGCTGGAATGGCTACCCACTACATCTTTTTTTTTTTTTTAATCCAAAATGTGTTTATTGGAATGGTTCCCACTCATCTTGAATCAGGTGCTTTTCAGTGCTGCTTCCTCCTGAAGGAGCATCCTTCTGTCAGCCTTGATTTTCCGCCTGTGGGCTGACAGAGGACAGTGGAGCAGCCAACACACAAGACTACCATTTGTGCATGGCTAAAGACTGTGGTGATCTTATAGCATCCTGGGCATTTCACGTCCATAAAGTAGGAGCTGGAATGGCTACCCACTACAACATACCTATGAGGTGGTAAGGTCACCTGATGCTACTGTGTTGGTTTGAATGATAGATGTCCTCCATAGTCTGGGGGAGTGAGTGACACTGTTTGGAAAGGTTTAGGAGGTGTGGCCTTGTGGAGGAAGTATGTCGTTGGGGGCAGGGTTTGAGAGTTTAAAGACTGTTATTAAAACTGTTTCTAGTTTGCTCTGCTGTGGTTCAAGACGCAAGCTCCCAGCTCCCCAGGTTGCCATGCCTGCCTCCCGCTGCCTTCACATCACCAACACGGACTCTAGGCCTCTGGACCCATACGCCCAAATAAATTCTTCTCTGAATGCCTTGGTTAGTGTTTTATCACAGCAATAGGAAAGTAACCAACAGGGTCACCAAATATGTCACGTCCTCAGTATTGCTTCTCTGAACCCTACTTTCTAAGTGCTTTATGGGGGAAGAAAGAAAACAAAAACCAAAAACAAGCAAACAAACAACCTGGTAACTGTTTCTGTGATTTATACTCAGGACATTGAGCACCAAACTATGCCCACACACAGTGTGCTTCAGGGCAGGAGGCTTGTTTTCATCAGTTCTGACTTCTGTGGAGGGGAATCCTGTCTAACTTGGCTTTGTAAGGTTATTAAGTTTCTGTGTAGGAATTCACTAGCAAGGTTGGCTAGTTCATGTTGTCCTCAGCACACAAGTTAAGCCCACAAGGGCATGGACCCCATAAGCTGGTAGCTCTAGGATGTATGTGGAATATAGGGAAGGTTAAGTTGTCATAGAAGAGCAAAGAGTTATGCCTAAACAAAAGCCCTAATTGTCCATTTTGACCAGTGGCTGTATCAAGGGGATATCGGACTTCTATAAAAGAAGTATATGCTTAGTACTCTTTATCTGAAATGCTCGCAACCAGAAGTATTGCAAGTTTGGGATTTTATTTTGTCTTGGATTTTGGAGTTTTTGCACGTACATCATGAGATATCATAGGGCCAAAGCTTGAGTCTAAGCACGCCATTCAGTGATGTCTCACAGGCGCCATTGGCGCCTGACAACAATGTTATACATTGTTAGTGTGCCGGTGATTTCACCAAGACCCACCAACATGAAGCCAGGTGTAGAACTGGTCACCCGTGATGCCTCAGCACTCAGCAAGCTTCAGGTTTTGGAACTTTTCAGAACTGAGATATCCAGGTCAGTGACATTCAACCTTTGAGGGAAGATGTGTGGTGACAACGAGAAAGACCGCTTCCATCAAATCCCACATGCAATTCAAGTGTGGCCAGAGGGAGGGAGTCTCCAACAAGCGAACACGCGACCTCATCTGGATGACAATGAGAGAGAGGAAAACCCGATGAGTGTCCCAGCAACTGTGCCTCTGACCCAAAGCTGGACTCATAAGCGCTTTCCAGTCAGTACTCTCAGGACCTTTAGAAGATTCTAGAGGGATCTCAGCTCCTTTCTTCCGAGGGTCCTCATTTGGGGAACTAAGTGAATTCTTACTGCTCGATGAGTATCTGCCCAAGAAAGCTCATAGGGGCCTCTACAGTTTGCCACAGCTGGTCCCAGACGACCTCTCTGGTGGCGATGTGGAGGTCTTAGAGGTGATGACTCAGCTCCGACTCTGCCACCTGCTCTGCTCTTAGGGACACTATCCTTCAACAGGAACCAGATCGGGAGGGTAAGTGGCAGCCTGCCAGTGAGCTCCTCTTCCCTGTTAGCCAAGGCCTGGAAATCCCTTTACTAGAGCAGCCAATGGCACAGTTTCGTTTTAATGTGCATCAAGTCCTTACAGGAACATGCGCTGTTTCTTTTCTTTTCTTTTTTTTTCTTTTTTCTTTTTTGGTATGAGTTTCTGATGTCAAAGAACCCAGTGCAACTTTTAACTTGGCCAGCGTCTGAACATGAGGCCGCTGGATTCTGAAGTACTCCATCAGTGGAATGTCTCTTTTCATCTTTGTTCTCTAAATCTACTTTTTATTTGCCTGCATAAAGGGAAGAGAGTCTCTTTAATGTTGTGTGGATAAAAGCCACAAGAAAGAGATAAAGCATGAAACAAGTGCTGGGCCCTTAGGGGTAACAGAGCAAGGAGTCTGGGATGCTCTGTCACCAAAGAAAGGCGCTTTGCTAGTTTAGACAATTATAGACAAGACAACTGGTTTAATTTGCATTAATTGAGGACTGTCGACTGTCGCACTGACTTCAGCGGTGACAGATTAAGAATGATGTATGACAGCCCACAGTCTAACACATGATTCTATGTTGATTGGAAAACAAACAGCTTGGATTTTTTTTTTAAAGCTATTTGCTCTGGGTCTGGGACATTGACTAGAATTTTCTAGCAGGCCTGATGCAGAGTCCCTGCACATCTTCTTGCTTTCCCTGCATTCCTTACCAAAGGGGCAGAGGGCGGGATGCTGAGATGGGATGCAAACTCCGCCACTGCACTGGGGCAGGTCAAAGCTGAGTTGCGGAGTATTCCCGCCGTCCTTCTGTCTGTCTCTCTGTGTGACTCTATGCAGTTAGTCCAACAGACCACTTTCAGGGATTATTCTTTGAAAGAATAGCTCTTCCTTCTTCTTGGTGTGTGTGTGTGTGTGTGTGTGTGTGTGTGTGTGTGTGTGTGTGTGTGTGTGTGTGTGTTTAAATAAAAGCACAAATCTACTTTTACTGATTCACTTTATGTTAGTTTAAATCTGTGAGGGGTACACCATCTCACAGGTTCTGTGTCCAGTGGCCTTTGCAGGAAGGCTTCTTCAGATTTTGGCACAAATAGTGTTACCACTTTCAACTGATTCAGGTGACAAGGCCTTCCCTTTATTTCCTGTAACTTCTATGAACACTGACTTAAGCAGAAGGAGGTTAGGGGTAATCCATGAGCCTTCCCATTATGAAGCTTGCAACATCTACCCATTGCCTAGATGGGCAAATAGAAACTTGTTGAGAACTGCAAATTTCTGGTGATGAAACTCAGGAGGAGTCTCCAGCACCCTGGTAATGAGCTGAAGCCCGAGGCTAAATGGAAAACCGGGCCCCAGTAGCTTTTACCTTTTGTTGGAATGAAGGAGAAGCTGTCTTGACATTTGTATTCCCACAGAGAGAGCTTGCACTTGCAGACTGAGCTTTGGAGTAGGGTTGAATTTGCTCCATTGAGTCTGAGTTTGGGCGTTGGTTCTCTGAGACTCACCAGCAAAATCCAGGCCTCTGGAAGGCTTTATTCACATGCTCAAGTAAACAAACAGCGTTAAAGGGCTGAGACCACAAACAAAAGTCCAGGGGGGAGTAAAACATTCCCACATTCCCGCCTTTCCAGCTCTAGGGTTCTGTGGTCAGAGCATAAACTCTCCCTAGCGCTCTGCTCCCATGGGTATGCCTTTTTAAGTGGTGAGATTTGTTGCTGGATAATTCTAAATGACCATCACATCCGAACAAAGCCAGCCCGTTTGGGATGTGGGCAGAGGGGATAGAAAATGGGTGGTTGGGGCAGATCCATGAGGGCTCATAAATCTTCAGTACATTAAAGCTCATCACAGCTCCGCCCCTCGCCGGCTCTTTGTCGTGCTAATTCACATTAGGCCAAGCCTGGCTTCACACTTTGAGGCTTTTCAGAGGTGAGGCCGGTACAAAGCTGCAGATGTGGAAACCCGAGAGACCTTTGCTCAACGCTGCCTGTCAGCACTAGCGAGGCCCACAGAAGAATGTTACGGTGGTTCTCTGGCTTCAGCAGACTCCTCAGTGAGCAACTTGGGGGTTTAAAACAACAGGAGGAAAGGTGAAGAAGTGACAGACGCACCAAGGTCCCCCTCTCTTGCAAAAGTCAGTTGGACAAAAGTAACTCAAAACAGTGAGGCATTGTATTCCTCATATCAGAAACTTAGGGGTACCCAGTGTTGCGAAGGTGGGGAAACACATATATTCTTATTGTCACAGCTGGAATAGACACTTCTGAGTGAAGTTTGGCTATGTATCAAATGAAAATACATACACTCTTTAACTCAGCCACTACACTGTTGGAATTATCCCGTTAATAGAACTTTATATAGATCCACAAATACATACACTAAAATACTTACTGCAAACCACAGTGACAGGGGAAGGGGGGGGAAGGGAGACGTACATGTGCACAAAATTAATAGATACTTAAATAAAATTTAGAATTTCTATGAAACAAAATGAAGTCCATCTTGGGGCAATTTGTACAGCTGTCTAGAAAGTAATGCTAAAACGACTAGAGATGCCTTTGCATCCAACATCTGCCTTCTGATATAAACCACAATCATGGAGACTGTCACCAGGGCCTAGAGCTGAGATGGCAGCTAGGCTTCAGCGTCAGAATCTCAGCTCTACTACTTCCACTGTGTATGGAGGTGAACAACCTCTCAATGTCTCTAGTCTAAAGGGAAAAAAAATCATCCAGTTGGTAAAGTACTTGCCGTACAAGCATGGGGACTTGAGTTCGATTCCCAGCACCCTCTTAAAAGCAGGCATGACACACCTGGAATCCTAGCTCTGGGGAGACAGAGACCGGAAGATATTGGACTTGTCAGCCAGCCAGTCTAGCCAAATCCGTGGGCTCCAGGTTCAGTGAGAGACCCTGTCTCAAAAAACAAGATAGGAGCTGAAGAGATGGCTCAGTTAGTTGTGCTGCTCTGGCGGAAGACCTGGTTTCTGTTCCCACCACTCACATGGCCGCTCACAAGCACATATAGCTCTGTTGCTAGAAGATCACACACCCGCTCCTGGCCTCTGAGGGCATTGCACACACATGATGGGTGCACAGATGTATGAGCTGGCAAGACAATCCTGCACATAACATAAAAATACAAATCGAAGGTGGAAAATTCCTTAGGGAGACATCAGATATTAGTCTCTGGCCTCCACACACTCATGCATATGTGTGATCATGCACCTATACACGCATGCACACACACACACACACACACACACACACACACACACACACGAATATACATATACAGAAAAAATAAAAGTCACATAATAATAATAACAGCACCCCTAGAGGCTTATAGATATTAAGTAAATCACTACATATAGAGACAAACACAATGCCTTACCTTATGGTATCCATCCAAGCAATGTGAATAGTTACCACTCGAAACGCTCCACTTAGGAAAAGCTGTAGCTGGTTATAGGGGACTCTGCACCTGAAAAACCATTTACTGTGGGGCAATCTACCCATGCTTCAAAGGAACGTCTGATTGGTCTTCCAGTTCCTGTCGATCGTATGAGACATGGGTCTGAGTAGGGGATGACGCAGAAACCGTCATTGGAGGAGTAGGACTAGTGAGCTTCAGCTGACTACCTAGATTTAGCCCACTAGATGGGGAAGGGCATCCAAGCAAGGGACAGCACCTGGAAAGCATAGCTGGGAAGGAGAATGGTTTATTTGAGGATCCTGGGAAGCAAGCCTGACTAGAATCTTAACGATGCAGTACGCATGGCTGTTTAACACTCAGCTCTTCTGTTTTACAGTCAATGCAGTCCAAGCCACTCTAAAGAGAATAATTCATGTTAGAAAAGTTGCTTGTGCCCTTCAAGTATCATAGCTGTGCAAAATCCTGCCACCCAACAGCTTCATAGACTCACCCTCATCTAGTGCCTTGGCCGTGCAATCTGGCGGTGTTTGGGGGTGGGGAGGGCTGTGGTGGTGGCGCATGCGCTATTTCACCTCTTCACAGTAACTGAGCACCTGCTGCAGGTGCCTATCAATCCACTTGCTCTGGCATGTGCCAAGAACAGATGCTCAAGGAATCAGTGTGTGTGAGCACATATCACCCAGTACTCCTTTTTGTATCTACCTTTTCACCTTTGAAAGAACACATACAACATTATGGCTGGAGCCATGTGGCACTCTGTAGGACATTGACCTAACACACTTCCATTTGTATCATCCCCTATGTCCTGAATATACGTGCATGGCTGCCTCTTCTGTTTGAACTCCCACAGCCTCATTTCTTCCCGAATCTTCCCTCTGTGCCCTCTGTAACTTTGCCTTGCACTAAGTAAATCATCATTCTTCCTTCATTCTTTCACAGGCCATTTCTGTGCCCTGCCTGCTTGGCCACAGCTCGTGAGTACACAGCCTTGTCTCTTCAGACCTGGCAAGCTCCTCCTTGTTCCTCTCTCCTTCCTTAGCTTGAGTTGCTGAATGCTGATGAGTAAGGAGATGCACTGAGCAAAAATGGATGCATGAGGACCGAAAATGAGCCCAGCCAAGGTCACAGATGTGCTCCCAGCCAAGGTCACAGATGTGTTCCCAGCCAAGGTCAGAGATGTATTTCCAGCCAAGGTCATAGATGTGTTTCCAGCAGCGTTCTGCTGTCGGAAGGGAAAGTTGATCAGCTTCTGCTGCCTCCCACCTCTGACTTTTATATTACTTTAGGTTTGAAACCCTCTTGGATCTGTTGTCTCTGTCATGTTCCAATGGGGTATTTTCCTCACATCAAGTCTGAGACTCACTCCGTGCACTGTGTCTGCTCAATGGCTTTGTCTCCCCCCCACGCCCAATCTTCTTGGTTGTCTCTATTTATACACTCACCATCAATATTCAAAGGTCCTCCAGCTCCTCCCAAGTGGATGAACCCTACCACACTCTTCACCCCACATTCCTAAAGAATTGTGGACGCACTCCATCCCTACTTCCTCCTCCAACCAGCCCCGCACTCCTCCCTCACTTCTGTGAGTCTTCTGTGGATAAAGTAGGCAGTGCACTCTATGTGGTTGGGCCAGAGATGCTTTCTAGTCTTTACCCAGTCTCCCCGTTGACTCCTGCATTCTTCTAGAACATTCTCTTCTCAAACATTCTCTTCTTTTGGCCCTTATGATGTGACTCTGTCAGAAATCTCTGTTTTTCCAGAATCTACTTCCAGACGGACTTTTCTGGTTCAATGCCCTCTACCTAGTCCATAGAAATCAGGGCCCAGGTCTCCTTCTGGCTCTGCCCTCTCTGGAGGAAGTTTGTCATTCTTTGTGGTTAAATATCTTCTATGTAAAAATCACTTTACAACTTTTGACAATAGCTGTCAAATTCTCTGCCTAGTTGACTTATTAGTCACTTAGGCTAATCTCAAACATTCTCTCCATTTATAGGAGCTGAAACCAGGGGTGGGGACATAGTTCAGCAGTGGCGCATGTGTCTAGTGTATGTAAGACCCTCACTTCAATGCATAGCACAAACAGTGAGGAGATCATTTAGTTGATAAAGTGCTTGCTGCCCAAACATCAGGACCTGAAGTCAGTCCCTAGAATCCATGTGAAAAAAAAAAAGCTGAGGGCAATGTGGTATTTTTTCTCTGTATGTGTGTGTGCATTCATGACACTGGGGATGGAAACTGGGATTTGTCCATGATAATCTAGTACTCTACCACTGAGCAACACCCCCCCCCCAGCTCCTAACTCATATTTTAATCCACATGCTACACTCTTAGGAATTCCAGATTCAATCTCCAGACCAGACCAATGTTCTGAACATCAGAGCCTACAGGGTGCTAAGATGCTGTCTTCCTGGCTGAGCCGTCTCTACCCACACACTCCCACTGAACTCTGACTTCCTCTTGACCAGATTCCTTTCAAGTTTGCTTCTGACTTCCCTCCCTTAGAAGATAACACCGTATTCTTCCAGGTGCTCAAACCCAATTCCTTGGTCATGCCTTCAGCCATTACTTAAATGCTAACAAAGCCTGAAGATCCTCAGTAGGTCTACATGTGGAGTCCTGTGTGTGTACATACAGCCCCTCACACGGAGGCGAGCTTGGCTCCGACTTCACTGACTAGCGCAAACCCACTTCCACGGAAATGTCTTAGTTGCTCCACGAGGACATCCAAATGATTTCATGGCCAACTCTGCTCCCCATGATCTGTTTTCCACCTCTCTAGCTTCACCTCCCCAAATGACCGGCAATAGTTTCTAGCCACCATGACCTTCTTTGTTTCTGCCATGTGCATTTTGAACTTCAAGGCTTCCCATAGAAAATGCTTATGTTTGGTCCGTTTTCTTGTCATCTCACTTCACAGACCTCTCTCTTTTTTTTTTTTTTTTTTTTTTTTTTGGTTTTTCTCTGTGTAGCTGTGTAGCTTTGCGCCTTTCCTGGAGCTCACTTGGTAGCCCAGGCTGGCCACGAACTCACAGAGATCCACCTGGCTCTGCCTCCCGAGTGCTGGGATTAAAGGCGTGCGCCACCAATGCCCGGCCACAGACCTCTTCTTGATGTTGGTCCTAAATTGAACACCCATCTCACTTCATCTCATTGCACCTTGGATTTTTCACTTATAGCATTTATCACTGTTCTGAATTTGTGCATTTATTCACCAATGTATATTAAACACTGTCCTTCCCAATAGATGAAAAATTCATGTAAGAGTGAGGTCTGGATCTCTTAATGAGCAATATCATTCAGTGACACAGCTTCTGCATCTTTAACCTTACATGGTATTTTGTATGTGCCAGAAACTTGGTAACTCTTTGTTGAATGAATGAAAGAATGAATGAATGAATGAATGAACTCATCAATTATTGAATATCTGAGTAAGGTCTAAATCCATTGTCCTCAAGTTGGGGAACACAGACCAACTATATACCTGGTTGCAGTGTTTATAGTCAAGAGCATCATCAGCAAGACAGAAACACTTTCTGCCAGAGATGGTTAGTGATAGAATTGAAACAGTGTATGAGAAATCATGTTGTCCTGTAAACAGCTGGCACTCAGACTCTACTGCTCCCAAGAAACTAGTCCTATGCTATTAAAAAGGCAGCAGAATAAGCGCCTGTCTGGGAAATCAGCATCTATAGAGAGTCTCAGAAGCAGGAGGTGGAATTAAGATCCTGCCCTGAATCTGAATGGAATCCACAGGCTTTAGGGCAATCTTTCTTAGTTCTTGTTTTTCAACTGGGATCTCAGCTTGAGAATGGCCCAGGACATCTCTGTGACACTTTACCCTTGGTAAGGAAGGACACAATGGTTCCCAGCAACTGCCAGAATTCTATAGAAGACAAAGAACAAAAATGAAGAATTTTCTTCATCTCGGCTTTCATGATTCATCTCCTCTTACACCGTACCTTGTGGGTAAAAGCAGGATGCCCAGTGGTATCTATGTCACCAGGATAAACTTAAGATCCTGTGAGTCCCCTCACCCTCCCAGTCTTGTCACAGTCTGGACTTCAATTTTATAAGTGGAGACAGTGATATCTAATGGTCTTCGGAAACACTGGCTAAATTGACCTCCTTAGTCCAGGCACCATCAATGGATAAATAATTTAAGGTTCAATCTGGGGAAATCAGGACCAAGACTGCCTCTAAGGTCTTTTTCTTCTTTGTTGCTAATGCTTGTGGATGGTAATGGGTGCACAATCCTCAATCCTCCCTTGTTTTCAATGGCAAAGGGCAGGATGGGGCATCCTGGAGCTTAAAGCCCCATGGCTTCAGTGACGTTTGCTCATTGCTACTTTCACAGCCCTCATTCATGTTTTCATCCCTGGCAAAGGCTTCACTGCTTCGCCTCAGGTCCTTCTGTGTCCAGGCCCTGCTTTCACCAAGGGAGCAAGGTCTCTGTTTGTCCCAATTAATATCGTTTAATAAGAATAACACATAGAGGGAAAGGCCGATAGTGGACGTTTGCATTTCTATGAAAGTGGGATATTCAAATTAGAGGCCCAAAGCCTTATTATGTCTTCATCTTGAGGTAACATTCAAGACTACAGAGACACTCATGGCTGAGGTGAGCCTGGGTAAGCTGTCATGTGTGTCCATCACTGCTGCTAGCCATGACTCTTGCCATCATCAAGATCAAAATCATTAAATAAAACCCCTTCCTTCATGTAACGTGCAGACCACTGGGACATTTTTTGTGTTACATATGAACCTGTACACAGAGGGGAAAATTGTCAATAAGCATAAGTAAAACATGCAATTTAATTGCTTGTTGGAAGAGGATAAACTTAGGGGGTGGCTGGAAATTAGAACCAAACTGAAAGGGAAATCCGTGGGCAGCGGAGTGTTAATTGGGGTGGGAAGAGTGGCCCGCGGGGACATTTTGCCTAATGCTTGAAGATGACAGAGTTGCCTGGGCATGCTTTCCAATCAGAAGAACTACCCAGCCATATGTTCACTTCATAAGTCCCCTCAAAATACATCCAAGCTTGACATTGTAAGTCAGCCCGTCACATGATAGGGATTGTTTTTTGTTTTCAGCAAATTGGCTTCTGTGGCTGCTGGAGAGAAGATTCTCCTTCAGCCCACACATAGGAACCTTTAGAGTTAATTTGCATCTGGAGCTGGATACTATTTAAAATCTGTATGTTTGCGTACCACGTGCATGCAGTACCTCCAGAAGCCAATAGAGAGTGCTGGATTTCCTGGAACTGGAGTTACAGGTGTTAGCCGCCATGTGCTAAGAATCAAACCTGGGTCCTGCGGAAAATCAACCAGTGCTCTTCACCGCTGAACCATCTCTCCAGCCAGAACTGGCTGCCTTTTATCACTGAGCTCATTCATTTTCTTTGTCACTTCATCCAGGGATGCTGGAAGCATCTAGCCAGCTTCATTGTTTTCTTTGCTTTTCCACAAATGTTCAGAAGTTTTATGAATAGAAGAGCCCTCAACCACACTGCTTCTCACAAGAGGGCACTCAGGGTCATCACATCCATTTGTTTTGAATAGAGTTCAAAGAGTTCACACTAGGGACTCTCGGTGCTCTGTCACCACCAGAGGAGTCTTCAGTGAATGCAGATTTGCTGAGTTGGAGAAACAGCTCCAGAAAGCACCAAGACCATTAGAGAAATTCATCCCTACAGTTGATGCTCCAGAACGAGTTCTGGTGCCACAATCTCTGGTAGTCAGGGTTCTCTAGAGGAGTGGAAACCGACAGAGTAAATAGAAGTTTTAGAGATGCCTCGATTGCCTCCATTGGTGTGGGAAGACCCACCCTAGGTGCGGGTGGCCCCCTCTGGTGGTACTTGGAAGGAAACAAGCTTTGTGCTGTTTTTTTTTTTTTTGTCTCACCATTCCCCATAGGTTTACACTGTATCTGTAATTTGATTGCTCTCCATCTTTTTTTTTTTTTTTTTTTTGGGGGGGGGGGTGTCCCTTGACCATCACTCTTGTTTGCCAGCTCACCTATCCCATTGCTGCTGATAATGATTATTTCACTGACATTAGAACCAGCTTGTTTAGGTTTCTAACATGGACTGGAGACAAGCAGCTCTCTAAGAGTATTTCAGGCCTTCAGTGTCAGCACAAGACTGCTGAGACATGCAGCTTCCTAGACTGAACAACTCTTGATTCCCAGTCTCACCATGTGAGACGCCTATTGTGGGACTATCTGGACCATATCTGGACCATATCATGTAAGCCGATCCATTCACTTCCTCTTTAATGTATGTTCACCCTGCTGCTTCTGTTTTCTTAGAGAAAACACTAATATGGGACTGTGCCCTTATGAACTCATTAATGCTGTCTTGCAGGAGTAGGTCAAGTCTTTTGTGACTGGATTACTTTGTGATTCTGTTTCTTCCTTTCCTTTTCAAGTTCCAGGAAATAAACCCAGGGCCTAGAACTTTCCACATAAGCATTCTATACTAAGTTATATCCCAGGCTACCAGACCTTGGCCCTCTGCACATGGGAAGTTTCCTCTCCACTTCTCTGCTGTATTTTGACAGAGTCAAGCACCCAACCAGAACACCAGTGCTATGTTGTTAGGAACCTCCAGCCATCAAAATCATGATCTGAAAAACCCTGCCTTTGCTATTTGGTTATAACAGTATAAAATAGAGACATCGCAT